CTTGGTACTGACAGCACTTAGATCTCAGATACTCAGCAAACCCAACTGAGGATAGGGAGAGTGGCTACACTCCTCTGGAAGGGATGATCAGACGTAAGTGTGGATAGAGCCTCTTCATGGTACAGAAATCATCGAGTAGACATTCCAATTGTTCTAACTTGTCCTTGGTTGTTATTGTATCAATTGGTACAGTGTGGTACCATTATAAACTGTGTTCTTTTGTAAATAAACTATACATATCAAACAAGTTCAGTTTGTAGGTGTATTTCCTACAAACATACTGTACATCTGGAACATCTTGAGCTGTGCTAATTTAAAAAAGCCATTTGAGCATACTAAGGACAGACACTAGGGAATCTTCAGTGTTCATATATTTATTTATCTAATTACCATGATAAATAAAATATGAATTTAAGAAAAAAAATTAATACAAGTAGTTATGAAAAATTTGAAAAAATAATATAAATCCAATACTTATGTGATTTTGAGATTATCAGTTCCTTTATTCCTGTAATTTCCACAATACAGAAATTAATTTAATCACAGACTATACCTATAAAATATTTAAAAAATGATAAAAATAAGTTAACTAATTGTGCAAGTAAACGAGTAAACTCTAGCAAAAACTCTACAGAACTGATAAGCCCAAACTAATACATGATATCTCAAAGAATAAAGTAATTTAAGCATTCATTATAATCAGATTCCACAGATAAAAGAGTGTATAACATAGCAGTCATTTACATTTATATTCAATTCATAATAAAAATGATGAAACATATTAATTATGATGAATGAACAGATCATAAAGAGTGAAGAATGAACCAATGTTATCATATTGCATCTAACATACAATGATTACAAATGAAGCAATGAAAAGTAGATATATGAACAATGTCTACTTTTCATCACTCCATTTTTATATTTAAAAAAACAAAAATTATCACAGTTTAATTTTAAAATTAAATCAATTTAAGTATATGATGATTTTTCTGCACACTGTATATTGATGTAAAGATTATAATAGCAAAATTGTAATGTTAAAAATCAAATATCAAACAATCAACATTAAAAATCAATTGAATGAATTAATAAAACCTATCTATCTATGAAAGATGAAAGTACTTTTGCTTTTATTATAATAAATATTTGATTTTTTAACATTACAATTTTGTTAATACTGTAATATATTATTCAAATCATTCTGCTATTAAATGAAATTTCAATAAAATGTAAATGAAATATTCTTCACATAAATATATATTCATTCCAAAAATATATCAGATGATAAATATAAGAAAATCATCATAATTAAAAAGAAAAAGTAAAAATATTATTTTATATTAACATGAATAAGAGTAAGGAGATATACTAACATTTGGATTTGAATATGTGGACATCTTAATATGATATTAAAATAATCTACAAGAAAAATCTAGAATATAAAAATATAAAAAAATGGCAATAAATGAAGCCTTAATTATTTTTATATTAATCTGAATAATTTTGATAAAATTCAGAGTTACAATAATATAAGTATACTTAAATTTAAAAAAAATTTACTTAGTAAAAAATCTAATAAAACTTAGAAAAAATTTTTCATACATAGACTAAAAAAAAATAAATGTAGGCAAATGTGATATGTTAATGGTATATAGAACTTATATAGTTGTATTATTATCCATAGGTAAGTTATCATATGCAACAAATGAATACAGAATACAGTGAGTGATCGGTTAACAAACAGTTTGGATAGCAAACAAATCAGATGACGAACACTTTCGCAAAAGATTTTTATGATCGAACAATGAACACTTTACTGAACAAACATAAAAAGAAGCAACAAAAAATAACGAATACCGATTTTTCCCTTGCCTTCAGGTAACAATTTGAAACCTTTTGGAGCGTGGGAGACATCAACATCAACACTCAATGTAGTATATACTGATCGGATAGTATTCCTCCAAACTTTGAAACTCTCCCTTGTAACTCCAGCCTTTTATTTTTCTCACAAAAACAATTCTTTTATAGTATTCGTGAGACTGTCGGGAGGGTACTCGTTAAGTTTTGCATTGGTTTTTTTTCGAAATGTGAGAGTATAATAGCAAAGGTAGAGAGTGGGCAGAAGATGTCTGATGTTGCTGGGCAGTGTGGCTTGAACAGGTCTACAGTAGACTGCAGTTCAATCTTAGATAAGAAAGAGTATAATCTAGAAGACTCAAGAAGCTTAAGGAGTAACAAAAATCACATCTGAGAAATAAAGAACATTGAAGATCTCATAATGGAACCTGAAACTGATCTGACGATAGAAGAACACCAAGAAACGCGACAAGATATGTTTTCTTCTGAAAAAAAGAATTAATGTTGATATCTGCTATCAAACATCTTTTGAAGAAGTGGGATGATGTCAGAACAATGGTCTTAGAATGGTATCCAAACCAGGTTGAGATTAATATGCTTGCAGATCTCTACAATTATAATGCTATTAATTACTTCTTAAAAATTCTGAAGAAGAGAGAAAAGCAATCGACATTAGACAAATTCTTTAACCCCACAAATGGAAAAACATGACTAATAAAAATACAAGACTGCATATATATGTATTTTTACTATTACATATAAATAAACATAGTAAAAATGTATATATTTTTTATTTTTTGGAGTCTCCAGAACAAATTAATCAAATTCCCATAAAAACATATGGTAAACTGATAATTAGTTAACGAACAATTCGGATAACGAACAAAGTCTTGAAATGAATTATGTCCGTTAACTGATCACCCACTCTATAAACAAATCGAAGTAGTAATGAATATAAAAAATCCAATAATTAATTAATTAAAAATTATTTTTTAATTAATAAGCAATTTATTGATTACAAAACAAATATTCAATTTCTGATTAGTAAGTAATGAATTAAGGTCAATGAGTACTCAACGTTAAAAATCAGAAGAATTGTTAATCTAAAATTATTTTAATAACTAACTTAACTCAGAGCATTTAATAAAAATAATAGTTAAAACTTTAATTTCAATCTTAACTGATTCAAAAAATAATATTGGCATATTAAACATATTAACCTGTATTAATTTATTCAAATAGAATAAGGAATTTTCTTTACTTATACTACTTTTCTATAAATTCTATAATCAATGAATTTACAATAAATTTAATTTCTGGACTACAGTATACACAATTATTTTCCTTGTCTTCCTTAACATGGAAGAGGTTGGATCCTCCCATAAGATCATGGTGTGCAATTGATTGAGGAAATCTGTGGCCCTGCATAGAAAGTCTTCTTCCCTCCATAGAACAAATTTCTTATCTTTGTCCGAAATTAGGAGTTTCATGTTGGATGTTGACAAGTAATGCCTTATGGAATGGTCAGAAAGGCGACTTTTAGCATTAGCAGAAGTTTGTCACATTGAGTCAAGTGTCGAGATGACTGAAATCTCCATTTGTGAGAATCTAGTCACCACTTAACAGCTCTTGAGCACTGCCAGGGCTGCCGGGACTGTTTCAGAGGCACTCATGTTGAATGGCAGAGGGATGTACTTGGATCCCTGTTGCAATATCTTGGAAATTCAGGATGGAATAGCTTCCTCTGTGTAGTTGTGGAACGGGATTGGCTGCAGTGGATTTCAAGAGATTTTTCCATGGAAAAATCCCTCCTCTCAAATTTAATCAAAGTGAAACGTAAGTCTCTGGCCGATGTTGAACTTAAACTATACATTGCCCACCTGCACTTCACCAAAGCCTGCAACCCTTCCTCACTCTACGACCAACTCGGAAAACTGCATAGTATTGCATGGAGATTTGTCCAAGAGGTAAGGGCTAGATTAAACAAGAAATTCAGGTGGCTCCTCGGTGATGCACGCAAACAACAAAATCCAGTGCAGCTAATCCTGTTCCACAACAACATGGGAAGCTATTCTGTCTCGAATTTCCAAGATATTGCAACAAGGACCCAAGTACATCCCTCTGCCATGTGACACAAGTGCCTCTGAAACAGCCTTGGCAGCACTCGAGCTGCCAAACGGCAACTAGATTCTCACAAATGGAGCTTTCGGTCATTTTGATGCTTGCCTCAGTGAGACAAATTTCTGCTCGTGCTAAAAGCTGTCTTTCTGATCATTCCGTAAGGCATTACTTGTCAACATCCAACATGAAACTCCTAATTTCAGACAAAGATAAGAAATTCGTCCTATGCAGGGAAGAAGACTTTATACACAATTAATTTTTAATACTAACAGAATTATTACAATATTTTGATATATTGATAGGCTTAAATAAAACTTTGAAATTATTTCAATCATAAAAATAATATCTGATTTGTTAAGCTCAACAGTAAATTATTAATTAGTTTTAATTATGATTGATTAAAATTATTCAACTCTTCCAGGAATTTATTATACTTTAAAAATAAAAAAATGATAGACAGAGATTATGATTAAAAAAATTTTTTTAAAATAAAAAGTGAAAGTCAACCACAAACACATGTAAACATCAAAATTAAAAGATTATGAATTTTATATGAAAATTATTCACACTCATGTATTCTAAAAGTATCTATTACAATATTAAAATAATTGACTTTGAATTTTTCTTTACTTCTCATATTTTTATATTATTAATTATAATCTTTATTGAATATTCCAATACTTAATTTATTTAATTAATTAAAACAAAAAGTTTTTCAAATATTTTATTTAAAAAATAAATTTAACACTAAACAAAAAGAAATTTTAAACAATTTCTTAGTAAAAATCTGATTCACAATACACAAAGAAAAACAATTCCAGATAATTAAATATGAGTCATGCAAGTGAATAATAGCATATAAATTTCCTTGAAACTTTCAGGAAAAAAGTACTTTTGAATATAATCATTTAAAAGAAGGTTACAACAATTATAAGCAAGTAAAAAAATGTAAATAATAAAGCAAAAAGTAAAGAAAAGTTTAGCATGGGTTAATTTCAGCTTTTAAAAGACACACAAACCTCCTCTGAAGCTCCACCACCAGGTTGTATTTGAGAAGAATAAATTGAGAGAGGAGTTGTACGAGGAGGAGGAGATGGCGGAGATATAGAAGCAGCGGAGGGAGTAGTCCTACCATCAGAAACCTCGGAAGTGGAAGCTCCTCCAATTCCTGCAAGTGACTGACTGGTTCTGTATTCACCTGAGGATTCAGAGTGTGGGGCATCCCTGCTGCCGCTGTCAGCAGTTCCTCGCATGAACTGCTCGAAGAGGGCGGTGTGGCTGTAAAATAAAAATATTAAATGAATGGAAAAGTTACATTAAGCAATATTATATAATATGATATAATAATTAAAATAACTTATTTAGTCAGATACGCAGAACTCTCAATCTGTGATTTTGAAAAAAAGCTGATAGAGCCAAAACAAATGACAACTGACAGTCAAAATTTTAATCAAAATGTAATGGTTTCGATAATTTTGATGGGATTCTATAATGCAATGTTTACAGAAATAGTAAGATAAATTGATAAATATGATACAAGATTATTTTATGACATCCCATTTTGTACTTTTGATTATTTTGCAATTGCCATATAAAAACTGAATTTAAGTTCTTGCATATAGCAGTGTGCAGAAAAATGACATCAAATTGGTATACTTTTTCTACATGCTAAATGCTACATGTAAGAACCTAAATCCAGCTTAACACAGTACAGTGTGGAACAACAATTCTTAAACATAGGGTTGAAACTCCAGGAGGATCACCAATTATTCTTGTGTGGTTCCATAAACATTTTCATAAACATTCTTCTTCTACTTAAAAAATCTTCAAAACTATAGACACTTGAAGAAAATTGACAAACAACAATAACAACAATAAGAAAAAAAAATTAGTGGATTTGTATTTATGGTAAAACAAATTATCCAAAAAACAATAATCATAACAAAAAGGAAATACAGTAAATCCTCAATTTAATGGACTAATTCAAACAAGGACTGTCCATCAAAGCTGAAAGTCCGTTATATAATAATGTAGGTTTTCTTCGTGCATGTTAAAACAATTAACAAATTAGTTAAATTGACAAACATATTTACATAAGTTAGAATACATAAATTGTTACTTATGTAGATATGTTTATGTAATTAAAATTAAGTATGTATGAAAAGTTTAATTTCACTGTAGTTCTAAGACTGTAATAAACAAGTATACAATCTAAATTAAAATAAACAAACATTTTTTGGAAAATACACTTTAATTGTAATCAAGTGAACAAATAAATAATGTTCTTAAAAAGAAACTTTAAATTTGACAAAAACACAAAACAATTTCCAATTTATTTGCTTTCAGATGATGATATATTGAGATACTCCTGTTGGGTGCAAAGTTAAGAACAGTGAATCTTGGATTTGAAAAACACCTGTTAATTTAATTACATATAAAAAGCATTTTGAAATTAATAGGGTGTTAATTTTCATATATGACATATGGAATGGAAATTTTCCGTTAAATCCAAAGTCCGTTAAATTGAGGTTTTACTGCATGTTGAGGAATTTTTAAAATATGGATTTTCATATAAAAAAGTTAATGGCAAGCATCTATCATTTTATATAATTTGTAGCATAAAACTTTTGCAGGTTTCTAGGTCTTAAAGACATTTGGAAACAAATCATCCAATATACATTGAAAAACTATTATAAAAGAAAAACCATCTAACTATCTCAAAAAATTTCTTATTGAAATAAAAATGAAGCAACTCTCAAAAATTGACTATGGATTTTTCAAACTTTGTCAAAAATGTAATACAATTCAAAATGATAAATTGTCAAATTTATAATAAAAAGTAGTATAATAAAAAAATATTAAATTTTATAGATAAAGTTTAATTTAATTTTTCAGTTGTTATTTTTGTGATTTTTATGCATTAGAGAAAAATATTGTAAAAAAAATTTATCAAATAAATTCTATTGTGTATAGATTTAATGTTGAGTTGTAAAAAATTTGTTAATGTTCAAATGGGATTGTGGAAAATGAAAGTCTGGGAACCATTGTTATTATGATATTGTACAATATTTTATTTCAATATTTTATTTTGACCGGAACAAGGCTACAATACATGTACAGAATATTTTTAGATATACAATTGTCCATGTATATTTTAGATTAAAAAAATTATTTTTATAATGGTAGTCATTGTAACTTCTGGTGGCAGCCTTCTTTCCTAAAGAGATCAGAATCAGTTTATTCATGGCATTTAGTATTGTTTAAAAACCAGTGCAACTTATAAGTAACCAGAGAAGACAATCAGTTCAGTAAACAATTTCTGCTATCAGTTTATTTTCACCTTGTATTATACCTGCAGTCATCAGAGCCAATCAGAGCAAAGTTACGGATCTGTCTTTCCAACTTCTCTTACCTACATTGTCAGTCCTCAGGGTTCTCACTTGAGTATTTGCTATCTACTACTACCAAAATCTTCACCTGAGGTGACTCCAGGCGAGCTTGTGCCTGGCACCTTCAACACACGCCTCTGTGACCTTCCTATTCGCTGCAGCATAAATACCTGGCCACCACAGTAGTGTGAAATTACACTGCGGCGAATAGGAGGGTCACAGAGGCATGCCCGCTTGGAGCCGCCTCTGATGCAGATCTTGGTGGTAGTAGCAAATATTCAAGTGAGAACCTTGAGGACTGAAAATGTAGGTAAGGGAAGTTGGCAAGACAGATCCGTAACTTCGGGACAAGGATCGTCTCTGAGGACTGCAGATATAATACAAGATGAAAATAAAGATTGTTCCTCTGAATAAATTTTTTCCCTCAGTTGCAAAATCCAAAACACCAGTGCAATACATCTTATTAATAAGCTTAGTCCTCATAGACAAACATTCAACAAATTGTAAAAAATAAGGACATAGAGGCACATGAATTAAAGTGAAAGAAGATTAATAACTGTAATTATTGGTGAAAAACAAATGCAGAACACAGTGGACACACAGACAGTACTCTTGAAAAGCAGATGGTTGAGAACTATGGATCTGAGAACTATAAGAAAAGTGAAAAAATTTATCAACTCAACAGCAAACAATCAACACATCAATATATGTATGTAATAACAATTTTGACAATGTTATAAAACTGGAAGTACACATCACAAACATTGCCAGAACCAGCAGTGGATTTAGAGAGGTGCACAGAGTGCAGCTGTCTCTCTTCTGAGGATTTTTTCTTAGTAAAGCCAAGTACCTCAGGTAATTAAAAATTTTTAATGCACAGTGTTTCCTTTTTGAACCCCCTCTGAAAATTTCTGGATCTGCTGTTTGCCAGAACAAATAAATTTTGATGCAATAAGGCTAAAAGCTACTAATGCATCAAATGAATATAAAATCATGTAGCAGATCTTAATAGTAGTACAGTAATACCCCGAACTTACGCGATAGGTGGGACCGAGCGGTAACCGCGTAAGTCGGGGTATAATTTCGCATATAAATACATACAAATAATTTTTAATTGGGGCCGGAGACTAAAGAAAACAATAATTTAAAAAAAAATGTTTAATAAAATCTTAGATAATATATATGTATAACAAATTAGGCCTATATTATTTTACAATTTTTCACATTTACTTGATTATTACGCCATAATTTTAACATTGTTTCCATCTCAGCGATAATACTGTGACGTTTACGAATGATGCTTGAATTTAAAGATTGAGCATTTTTCACAGCTTCGAGAATTTTTTCTTTGCCTTTTATAATTGTTCTGACCGACAATTCCGGTAGATCAAACTTCTTTGCCAATTCACAAATTTTCATTTTTGTATCGAAGTCTTTAATAATGGGTACGTTCGTAAAGTCAAACGAGTTAAACGCGTTAGTAACGAATCGTTCGAAAAGTCTAACGAAATAGGAATAACGATGACGTCATTCTCGTTTAACTCGTTCGACTTTACGAACATACCCAATGTTAACTTTACATTCCAAAGATAAAGTTTTTCTTTTCTTGTTTGATGCAGAAGAATTAGTTCTACTTCGTTTGGATGACATAGTAGAGTCTCTCGAGTCTCCGTAGATATAACAAACACAGAAATAAATAACACAAAATAAATTGTAGCTATGTGTGGATTCCGCGCGACACATCCGAACATGTAAGCTGAACAATAGTGTGGGGGGAGTGAGTAATCAAGGGTTGCGTGGCGCCCAAACAAAAGACAAATCGACGAGATTTGAAAATCGCGTAACTCCAGGTTTGCGTAAGTCGGGGTATTACTGTATTTAAAATTATAAGCAACTCAAAAATAAAAAAAAATGAACCATAAACATTTTACCAAAATAATTTGACCACTACTATATCTTTAAAATTTTATATTTGTCAGAAAAACTGATAATTTTACACTATAAAATGAGCAATTATTTATTGTGACATCATCACAATGCCTAGATGCAATTTTTAATCATATTTTTAATTTATTTCATTTAAAATATATGCTCTCCACCTCAAATTAGGAGTGGCTTGCCCCTATACATCACACTTTTCCTTTAACAATGAAGTCATGTCAGTTATCTATCTAACATTTCTCAGGGAAAAGCTTTGAATTGAAATAGCATGACTTCCAGTTTAAATCAGATGTTCATATTTAGTTAATTGGGGCCTCCTGCACCTAAGGTTTCCACATTTGGTCCCGTCTTTTATCTATCTAACTCCGTTCTTGAGATTATGGAAATACAAACAAACAGTGGGCATTTATAGGTCTACAATTTTTTAAAATTGCAGCCCAATAATTTGAAAAAGCTACCTTATAGAAAAGATATTTTTCATTATTGAAATTTTATAATGAAATTCAATCAACAAAAAATTATTTTCTGAGTGAATGTAATGCAGAATGGGAATTTTTTGATATAAAATAGTGCAACTCCAATTAACCAAGGTTATGCATTATCTGAATCAAACCTATAAGTAAATACACTACTTTTCTTATAATGCTTATAAGAAAAGTAGTTTATAAAAAAAGTTTATAATGGTAACACAAATTACAAAATAATTTGTTTTTGTTACCTTCCATCATTTGACTTTAATGTGAAACAAACTATAATTATAACATGCAATTACTTATTGTGAAATCATCATAATGCCAGGCTGCAATTTTTAATCATATTTTAATTTAAAAACTCACATGACTTCCAGTCCAGCAGAAGTTCATATGTAGTTAATCACGACCATATCTGGTCTTAATTTTCATCCATCTAACTCTGTTCTCAAGATTAAGAAAGGACAGTCAGATGGAC